GAAGAGATTAATCAAAGAAGTTATATGCATATATGCATAACTCATGGACACAGTCAATAATGGGGTGAAGGCCTGGGGAGGGAGTGGGAGGGAAGTGGAGGGGGTCAATGGGGGGAAAATGAGACACCTATGATACTTTCAACAATAAAGATAAATAATTTTTGGTCATGGTTTTAAAAAAATTAAGACTAAACAGCAGTAAGATATGAAGAAGAAAGTGGAGGTGTCATCCCTGGCCCCACCTCAGCCACACTTCCCAAAGATTTTAATTGATTACGATGCTTTGGTTTTAAATAAACAGACAGACAAACACACCTTCAAACATGCCTGGTGGATAAGGATCCTGACTGCCTCCCCTTGCCGAAAGTACAAATGTAGGGTAACCAGTAAGGTGTTGGATTTAAGGCCTAGGGCAGATTAATCACCTACCCTAGGGAAAACATGTTTTATTACCTTGCTACTTTTTATGGGCTATGGGGTGTTGGAATGAGAGCAGGGTGCTGAACTAAGAGGGGAGTCTGAAGGATGTTTCTTATGGAAATTGGCCTAAAAAAAGTTTAGGCAAAGTTGACTCTTGTTTGAGACAGGTAACATGAGGCCTGTACAGTTCCCAAAACCTGACATTAGTGGACCTTCCAGGCCCCTGGGAAACCACAGTGGAATGGTGTTCATCTGGGAGACACCCAATGGGCACTGCCCTTGGACTGATGGCCCCCTGGGCAACTCCTCTGCCTCTGTGGGCATTTGTATTAGCCTAAAAGAAAATGTTGGGGATATCTTGAAATATCATGTTCACTCATTTACTATTTTGCAAGTTGGTAGATATTAGACCACCAGTAGGTCTTGTTATTTGATATGCTATTTAAGCACGTAAATATCATTACCCTCATACTTAAAATAATTTGGTAACTATTTCAGTATAACTAGTTTCCTTTGTAATCCTATGTATCTTATTTTATGCTTTTTAGCACCATTATTCTGAGCAGGGGTCTGTAGGCTTTAGCAGGCTTCAGCAGGCTTTTTTGCCAAGAGGGCTCATGGCATAAAAAGTGTCAAGAACCCCTGCACTGGGCTTTGAAGCCCTTTTCCAACCAGCAAAGAGGGTAGAGATGGAGAGAAAGGACATGTGCTGCTTAATCGGCTCAGCCTGAAGTCATTCTTACCACTTCTCACCCACCATTGGCAAGAGCTAGTCACCTATCCCTTCCGTTGGCAAAGAAGGCTTGGGAAAGAGTTCCACAAGCTTGGAAATAACACTCAATTCTGCCTGAGCAGCTGCTTCTCAGCAATAAATCTATACAATGGAAGGAACAGCAGGAATTTTGTTCAACAGATAACCATCTCTGCCCCAGTCCACCCCTTGGCTACCCAATAGCCTCATGGACGCCTCTCCCAATAAATGCACCTACTCTTTCTATCCCCAAAGGAGTCTCTATCCCTCTGCCTCTTTCCCCTGGCCCTTCCTCTACCCTCCTGCCTTAAATGTGGACCTGCCATCTTGGAACATGAGAATGAGGCTCGAGGTAACAGAATAAGAAAGAGAACTGGATGAAGTCTGTTTTCTGAACATTTCGGGGAGCAGAGACACACACCAGCTCTCGGCTGAATTCCTCCAGAATCAAGGTATGTATTTGACAGGACATGAGACTGGCGATCTGCATGCAGAAACCAAAAGCTTGCTGGCAGAAAGTAGATTGAAGGCGTTGCCTTCTAAACTAAAGTGATTATTTTG